AAGTCTAGATGATGATGATGATGCCCAACACAATAATTGCACAATGCAATATGTGACAAGGTATGCTAGTTTATTCAGCTAGAGTTTAACATAAATTAAACATAAGAATAGGTCCTCAGACTTGGAAAATGTTTGGTTTTCCAAGGATAAAGAGGAATTTGAAACTGGTAGACATTTCTTGACCAAGGCAAGGAAGAGGGAAGCTGGTTGTCCCATGGCAAACGACTGTTTATTCCTTTGCTGCTTCTTTCCAAACTTACTGTATATAAAAAGTTCAGAGCGAGCTTTTTACTTGTTCTAAGGGCCACTTCCTAGAATGAGGCACAAGGGAAAATGCATTTCCCTATGTACTTTTCATTATAACATATGGATCATGAGAATGTTAGATCAGGCCCAACCTCTATCAAGTCCACCATTCTGTGTTACACAGTAGTTGACCAGATTCATATAGGGAACTCACCAGCAGGATATAACAATAGCCCACTTCTACTGCTGTTCCTGAGCAACTGGCATTAATTTATAGTTCTTTCAATGTAATATCAAACTATCAAGTCAGTAATCAATTATAGTGTCACCCTCTATACAGCTAGGTAGCATCCTTTTGGAATTTTTTTAAATTGGTGGCCATTACTACATCTGATGTCACTGAATTCTTTAGTTCATTTAATTCCTGCTCAGGGCTGGGGGCTGGACTAGATGTTCTCCAAGACCCTTTCCAATCCTTACATTCTATGATCCACTGATTATGATTGTATCAATAGGATTGTACAATGCTCTAAAGTTTAGAGTGAATCACCCTATCAAAGTAGATTCATATAAAGAAGTCAGTGACTGGTTTTGAAGCATTGCATTGAATAAGGAGTCTGTAAAGCTCTATAATTGTATTTTCACTTCCATATAGAAAACATTGTTAGAACCTAAGTACAGTAGTATTACAGGCTCTCTGATCTTGAAAGCTGACAGTTTTGATGCCATTTGATTTCTCATTTTCCCAGCTTTAAATAACCATATTCTGTTTCCACACCAGTTTGACTTTTTAAAAAGTTTGCATGAGAAAAGTTTATATGTGATTTTTTTAGGATATACTATCCCAAGTTGCATAAACCTTCATTTTGCATATACACAGTCACAATGTTTTGTTATGGCTGTTCAATATAGAATTCTACTATATTAGGTCTAAGTAAATATACTATTATTATTATCATAGTACTTTATTGAACAAATGAGTATATGGAACATTTCCAAATAAACAATAAATAATACAATAATCTTCCTAAATGAAAAGATATTATTTATATGCCCAGATCCTTTTGATTCTGAAAAATTAATTATTTTATCACTGTAAGCATTTTACTGAAATATTAAAGAAATAAAAAAAATCTTCTTCAGGATTTTAAAGAAAGAGTTTATGTAGGATGTGCTTATAACTAAGTGCAGCACAAAGCTTATGCAGGGACTTTTGTCCTACACAGATAACACAAGGTTTATTAAGGGGACATACATACTCCTCAGTGTTTATAAGTAGATGGCAGTTGTAATCAAGTGTAATTAAGGCAGCAGTAATTATTCTTCTGACTTCTGCCAGTTGCTTCAAGATGATTTTACATTTCTGGTCTTTCCACCCCAGTTCCTCCTAAAGCAACATTGACTTCTGCTGATCATGAAATGCAAAGAATACTATGAGCCAGGTACTGCTGTCTTTCCTTTTCCAGCTGACCAACTAGGAAGTGCAAAAACTGTTAGCTGTACTGCATTTAAAAGCCCCTATTCTTTGTGATACTGAGATGATAGCATTATCAATCATTTTGAAACTGCTGTGACCATGCTTACTTGTTGCTTAACTTAGATGTTGGAGGTGGGGGGCTGAATTCTAATCAGTGCACACAGAAAGAGATAAATTTCAGGAACAGGACACTGAACTACTACGTGAGAGAGAAAGTCCAGTAGATGGAGTGAGGCAAGGGCTTCTTCCAGTAGAAAAATGGAACACCCCCCCCCCCAAACATCTGTAGAGCCACAGCAATTAGAAGAAAATACCAATTTTGCTATGATTTCCAATAAACCAAAGCAGAATCAGAAATACATCTATTCAGCTCATAAAAATAACACTAATGAGAGAGTTTTGTGAGATCAATCAGCTCATCAGCCAATCACAAAGTGGTGCAAACCATGAATATGTAAGTATCTTCTAGTAGCATTCAAATGAATTCTGCTAGCAGAGGACACACTCGTGCAGTTTAACAGGGGCATTGCCTGATCAGCTAGTTACAAACTGAAATGGAGCTTATGCAAGAGTGTGTCACACTCGTTTTATCCTGATTTTACCTTTGCCCTTTTCATGCAGCTGCTCCAGGCTACTTAAAAGTATCAGAAAGAAAATGTTAATCAATCACACTTTGCTTTTAAATTCCCCTGGCCTCTACTGAGATTGTAATAAATTTCACACTTCTGCTTTTCTCTGCAATCAATTGAAGGAAAAATCTGAAATGTTACAAAGTGACATTTGACATATAGATGAAAAAAAATGTCTAGGTTTCATCAGTCCTTTCAAAAAGCATTCAGTTCTAGGGAAGGACTCTTAGAATTGGATGATATTCATATGAAGATAATTGTAGGCAGTGGATTAGATCCAAGTAGCTCTTCCATGAACAGCTCAACAGCAACCAAACAAACAAAAAAAACCCAGGTTTTCAAATATTCTATGAGAAAAGTTTTACAGGTTTGTTTCTAGTGACATACAGAAGAAGCCATTCCAAGCATTACAGCAGAAGTTCATGGAGATGCCAAGTAGAAAGCATAATCACAGGGCACAATTTAAGGTGCTGGTGTTTGAAGTTTAATAGGTTCTGAACCACTTAAGGCCTGATTATCTAAGGGGCCACCCCTCCCCTATTATGAACCTGTCCAGCCATCAAGAACTACAGGGAGGCCTTTCTGAAAATGCCACTGCTTGCAGAGGCCCATCTTTCCTAATGCACAAAAGGGCTATTTCATGCCTTCCTCCCATGCTATGAAGTAGTGTTATAATTTATCCAATAGTAGCAATAGCAGTTTTGTTGCAGTCATAGTTCAGTTATTATGAAAACCAATACAAATATCCAGAAGAAAGTATATACATTTATGTACAAAAGATAAAAACGATAAGAGAGTAAAATTCACCAGGAATTTATTTATTTATTTATTTAGTTAGTTAGTTAGTTAGTTAGTTATTCAATTTATATAGCCACCCATCTCAGACCAGTGACTCTGGGCAGCTAACAATAATAGAAACAAACACTTAAAACAACACAGAAAATTAAATAAAAATATAAATATAGCCAAGAGATCTTTAAAAACCGTCGGTATCAGCACAACCATGAAATGGGGCCCTTCGCGCACTTGGGGCCCCAGGCCCGGGCATAAAGCCAAGTCTTCAAGGCCTTCCAAAAAGCCCAAAGGGTCGGGGCCATCCTAATCTCAGGAGGGAGGATGTTCCAGAGGGCAGGCATCACAGCAGAAAAGGCACATCTACTGGTCCCTGCCAGCCAACAAGTTAAACTAAATGGTTTTTTTCTGTGATATAGGTACATGTGTAATGGTGGCAGTTAAAAGGCCAAGGCCATAAGTCTCCAGACAGCTCTGCAGCAATAGCACAGGAACTAGCTACTTTTCTAGATGGGGGGAGGTGATCCCAAGTCTTTTCACTCCCATGGCCCAAACAGCAGTTTATGGAGGGTGACTCTGAACAGGAAAATGAGACAGGCATACTTTGGAATGTCCTTTTTTTAACTAAATCCCACTGCTTCTGTAAAAGGGAGAGACCAAGAAATTCCTCCTTTGGATATATTATTAAAATTACTTTGTTATTACTGCATGATTTTCAGTGCATACTTTAACATATTTTTACTTTTAGAACTGTTCTTTTGATCTTTATTTTGCAACCAGAAATGACAGATTTCATCTCTTAACAGATGACAGGTCTGCAATAATATAAAATGTTCTCCTTGGCTGAAAGTATATTACCAGAGATCTTTTTAAAGATCTCTTGGCTGTATTTATATTTTTATTTAATTTTCTGTGTTGTTTTAAATGTTTGTCCAGAGATTCTGGTCAACTAGAATATTTGTGGATGAAACTTTTTGAGTCAGTGAATTTTTTTAGGTTTTGTACAATGATTTCTTCCATTTCTAACCCTCTGATTTTTCTGACACAACCATCCATTAAGGTGGGAAAGACGGGTTGCTACACAGAGGATTTTGATCAGCAGGACAAAGACCTCTCTGCTTGGCAGCACCCCAAATTCCTAAAGTTCTTCGCAAACTAGACAGGAAAGATAGTCAGTCTTCAGTACTAGTCTGCTGGGTATTAGGGGAAGCTCTTGAAACAGTGTTTCAAAAGTGGATCCACAAAGGCTTAAAAGAAAAGATTCAGGCCTTATCTGTTTTAGGATACAGAGTCTTGAAAGGGTGAAAGAGAGTGCTGCTAAGCATATGCAGAATGTCCCGCATGTCCCTTCAGTTCCACACATACACAGCCGATCGCGGAAAAAAATATTTCCAGGGCAGGTTCAGGTGAAATGATGTTTATTTTCCAAGGGTGACGCTCCCACACAACCAGCTTGTACCAGTCCGGTGACACCTTCATGCCGCGCTAAAGCACCTCGGCTGAAACCGCTGGCAATATACCGAGGCTTCCTTCACGCGGCTTTTGCTGTAGCCCCTGACCTTCGTTCTACCCTCCTCTGCCTGCAGCGGGGAGGCTTTCGCGATTTAGGTAAAATTAGGGAGAGGGGACGAGGCTTAGGACTTCACTAGCCCCCCTCCAAATTAAAACCTTCCCTCCCCAGTCATTCTAATGGAGGAAATCTTCACCTGTTGAATGCCATCCGCGTCACTGTTCGAGGCGCCGAAAATGAGCTCCAATCAACCTGTCACTTCGTTCCCTTCCCTGCTTCCGCGCCCTCCCCTTCCTTTCCTTCCCCGTGGGGGCGGTTCACTCGCCTCTACCCCGCCCTCCCTCGCCTCCTTTGCCTTGCCCGCGTTGCCATTTGCTCGCAAGCCGCTGAATTTCTTCCGGCGGGCTTCGGCGGGGGTTCGTGTGATTTGACGGGAGGGCTCGGCGAGGAATCGACGCTGACGCGCGGGAGTCACCGGCGGAGCGGGGCGCACAGGGGGCGCCGTGAGTACCCTCAACCGAGAGCGCGTGCCCTCTTCCCGGTCCCGCTGCCTGTCTTAGCCTCACCCCACCAGCAGCAGCCAGCCGATTGAAGGAGAAGGGTGCCCCCACCGTCCATCCCCTACGCGATGCACCGAATTTCTGGGGAGGGAGAGAGAGAAAAGGGGGCAAGGATAGAGTTCTACGCCTCCGGGACTAATTTGGAGTTTATCATATAGCGATCTATAATAAGAATAAAAACGTCGCCTCTAGGCTCATATGTGCATCCTGTGCCCCGAGGTTATGTCTGCCTCGAACACTCTTCTCTCCCTACCCCAAAATGAAGGCCAGGAGGAGAAGAAGGGGGACGTTTCTTCTGAGCCGGGGTATTAAATGGCGCAGGATGTTCCGAGATCCCTAGCCGTCTCCCCTCTCCACTGGGGTCCCGTTGCCTTCTCTGGTAAATAGCCCCCCGCCCCATGGTGAAATTAGAAGAATTAACATAGAAAGAGAGGAAATGTTAGGGAAAGGTGAATTTGGAGGCTATTCAGTTTCATCTTTATGGTTTTGTGTTAAACAAATGCAAGAGATGAGATTCTTGAACGAGGACATTCCGAAAAACGTGCAGAGTTGAATCGATCTGTATGCCTGTGCGTTTGTGTGCGTTTAAAATCCCACAATGGCCACACCATCAGAATGAAAAGAGGGCAGAGTCGTTTGCCCAGGAACCCTAGAAAATGAAATATAAGAGCCATAAAAGAGGTTTTCTCTACCAAGTACAGCAGCTGATAAGAGAAAGGGACACTGCAGAGGACAGAACTGAAGGGGCTGGAAGCTGCTGTGCTGGCAGCATCTTAACATCTGGAAATGCCTTCAGCCTGGAATGATGAAATATCTCTCTAAGTTACACGCTAAAGATGGCTGCTCTGATGAGGAGGCTGCCTCAGCAATAGGCATTGTCCACAGGCTGTAGTCTGTTGCTAGGTTACATCAGGGTTTGTCTTCCCCCCTCCCCAACATACACATGAACATAAATGCATCTTGTTGATGTTTCTGATCCCCAATTTCCACTGGTGCATATGCTTCTCCTGATGCATTGTGGGAAAGTTACAGAAAAATCTGCTGATGCAGTTAAATGGCAGAACAAGCAGATTTCAATGAAAATGAAATGACAACATTCTCCCCACCAAACACGCACACATGCACCCTTGTTTGAGTGATGTGTTGTGCCATTCCTATCTCTCACCTATTACCTGGGCTCTGAACTGAGACTGAAGTGTCTGAGATTACACACAGAACAGTTTTGTTCTGTTGATACACAGGAAACCTAGCAATCACATCTTCAGAACTCTGAATGACACTTTCCCCCAAAATATTGTAAGGCTGGCAGGGCTGGGAGGGTTTTCTTAAAGAAAGCAGATAGCGTTGGGGCTTTCAGTGAACCTCCAGTGGAAACTGTTGCATGTCCCTCATTATCCTTGTAACAAAATATTCCATGTAACGTTTCTAGTATTACTGAATCCATTATCTGTGTCATAATGGCCAGAACTATTCACATTAGTAGGTTAAAAGTGTTTGCATCCTTGTTCATTTTTCTCCTTTGTGGTTACCCCAGAATTCATTATTGTTTTTTTTTATCTGCGCTCAGTCGTTACTGACTCTGCAGTGACTGCTGGACGAGTCTTTGCAGTTTTCAAGGCAAGGTGTTTCAGAAGTGGTTTGCCAGTGCCTCCTTCCTAGAGCAGAGCCCAGCTGGCGAGTGCAGGAGGCGGGGTTTCCGTTGCTTTGCGCCCTTTTTGGG